GACAAGACTTTTTGAATGGTTGAAGCGAAAAAATTCTTTCAAATACTCACTTTTGTTGCATATAGTCCTAATGAACATTTATTTAACGTATTTCCCATATATGAACACAGGTGAGTAGAATAACACTGTATTTGCTATGTATTTTGATGCCAAGCAATTGAATGTGTCTCAAACGAGATTTTGAATAAACATAGAGAATGCGAATGAGTTCAAAACGAAAGAAATAATTTTATTTGATTAATTGATGTTGGTTGATGGGAGGACAGTAAAGAGGCGATCATGTTAATTCTGATCTGAAAAAAAAACTAATAACTATTTCATACAACACACACGTATAAAAGGTTACGTTTCTTAGTAACTATTAGTGACCATAGTTTTTACGCCAACACAAAGAAATCTTTTCATTGAAAAATAAAATTTGGCTGTATTGTTACGAAATTTGGCAGTCACAGGTCTGTCACTATGGTATAGATTCGAGAAAAAAAAATCACTAATAATAAGAAACGCAACTACGTATTTACGTGTGTGAAATAATCAAAATAACTTTTCATTTTTACGAAGTATTTAATACATTGAAACAAATTACTTCTTCTTCGATTCATTTTTTCTTCTTGTTGTGTAGTTTTCTTCTACAAAATTTGCCATTGTTGAGGACGAAAAGTAAATGCAAAAACACCTTTTTATTTATAATTCCAACAGCCTTTCTCACAATTCAACAAAATGAAGTTTTTCAATTATCGAATATTTATTTTCGTCTTTTGGATTGATTTTGATGATAGTTTTTGCATTTAAATTAATTTCTGATTGTGGTAGAGTGGCAGAAATAGGAATTTGAATTTTTGATTTTAGAGAAATTTTATAAAAATATTCCGGATTGATAGCAATTGGGCTGAGACTTAGATCGATAAATTTAAATGATATTGTATCAAGTTTATTGCATTCAGAATATACGGTTCTCTTGGCATTTTTATATATTTCCGTAATGGTTATTTCAATATCATGTGATCCATCATGAAAACGGAACGAATTTGCATTCATAATGCTTGCACAATGAAATCCACCCAATAACATGGGCTGATTGGATGTAAACATAGTTGAACTTCCCGATGCAGATATATACGCTTGACGATATTCCCGTACATTTGCTCCTAAATTGCATTTCAGCACCTGCGCAGCATTCCATGCAAATTTGTTTGCTGATCTTGGGTATGCTTTGAAGTGATCGGTTTTTAAGTCCTTTTGGCCATTTGTTAAGCGAATGATTTCTTCATAATCTTCTGGTTTTGTGAAAAGTTTGGGATACTTATTAATGAATTTAATAAAGTCTATGACATCAATTGAACCATAACGGATTTCATAAAGTAAATCCTTTAAACGATTTCGTAGGTCTTCCATTCGTGGCGAATCCAATCCATCTCGTTCACAAGCATTTCGGGCCCAATCTAAGCAAGCCTCCAGTACAGAGGTTTCAAAGCATGTAAGTGACTCCAACTTCACAATGCGTTCTAAAATATTGTACTCGCACGTAAGAAATCCTTTGGTTTTGAACACTGTTTCCGGGCAAATGCTGATTTTTCGCTCACAAAACTGTTTCAGCCCGTCCATACTGTAGTGAATTGACCAATCATATGCCCAACAGATATCTTCAGGTGTCAAATGTTGCTCCATGTACTTGCCACACACTTCTAAACATTCAAACATTTGATACTCGTCCAACAGGCCCATCACTTCAGTGATGTTTTCCATTTTTAAGTTCACCTTTCCCTTGTAACAGAATTGCAGAAAGTCCTTCATTGCTTCGGGCGATGTCGACGGTAATTTTATGTCAGTTTCGTTGAATTTTTCGAACTCTTCGGCGTTTTTTTCACCTTTTTCAACCTCTGCTTCTTCCTCTTTTGCCTTTTGGTACTCATCAAGTAATTCTTCAGTTACATTTTCGATTTTCCGTTCATTTTTCTCACAAAATCGCAAAAAGTCCGAAATTATATCATTTTTTCGCCTTTTTTCTTCATTTTTTCTGGCTTTTTCGGCCATTTCCCCGTGTAACATGGTGTAGAATACATCACTTGCTCTGGATAATACACTTTTATGCGCAGGAATTCGTTCACATTCCAGTCCGCATTGAAAATACACATCGGCCGTTGCTTCGTCCAAATATTGCTTTTCCGCCACTTTTAATGCGTAATTGCTCGTCATACAATGTATGTTCACTGAATCGATTCCACATTCACTTTCCACTCTTTTACGCTTTGCTGGCAATTTCTCTTGTAATTCCATGATGTAAATTTTTAATGAATTTTATTTTTAATTTTTATGTCAAAAATAGAATTTTATGCTTTAGAATAAAACAAAACTTTTTTTATGCTTTAGAATTCTTTGCTTTAGAATAAAAAAAACTTCAAATTATCAACTACGATTCAATATGGTTCGATGGAGAGTTCCAGTATAATGATCGCTGTCAAACGCAACAGCAGATTATATTGCGAAAGCTAACTCGAACTCAAATTAGAAGCGAAATGTTCACATACATCGAAATTAATTACATACACAATGTGTATTACACATGCAACACTTCAAGCGATGTAGAATAGATGCGTTCTACGCACAAAATGAACCATAATATTCCAACACACACCAATTTATAGAGAATCATTTTTTATGTAGAATTAGTATAGACCGCACACATTCGCTATGTAAATACTGTGCTCAGCTGAAGCACTTAATCTTTGTAGCACATGTGTGTAGACCGCACCGATTCTACATGAAATACGATTCTCTATGTATTATTGTGTGTTGGAGTATTCGGCTTTATTTTGTGTGTACGCATACGTGTTGATGTGTATTTTATTTCTTCAATGCATTATACACATTTGCATGTCGCACATACTCTCAATCAATTCACACTCACGACCAAGTTGGTATTCATGTATGTATTGTGCTACAAATAGCGAACTAAGGATCTGTAATCAAACTGCCAGCTTGCGAAATTGAATGAAATGAAAGACGATCGTTTTTTTGTTAGTTCTATGATAGTATGTTTTCTTTATTTTGAATATTCAACCTCTGCGGTCTTGAAAAGTTCAAAAAGTGAGCTAATAAAGTGATTATTCATAAAAATGCGTTTTATTTTCAACATTTTTCAGATAAAAACTTGACTTTTCTACTTTATTTCGTATCTTTTATTTTCATTATCGAAAAAAAACCGTTTATTCCAATTTAATTGAATAAAATCAATCAAAATTCTTTTGTT